AGGGCAAGGTCATTGAAAAGAGGAAGAAAATATAAGAATGATTTATTTCAAAGAATTAGTAATACAGTACAACTTAAGCAACAAATCGGAGCAAGGGACTTACTTTTCCGAAGACCTGCTGTAGCCATCTCCAAAGAAATCTATTTCAACAGGTGGAGGCTTCATCCCATTCTCCCAGCCTAGGACACTGCTCCAGCAGAGCCACAGACAGAACTGTCAGGGAATTCCATTGGCACCCTCAGGACACTGACATTCTCTGTTCTGATGCAGTCATAGAAAGCACAAGAAACCTCTTTTACAGATGTGAACCAAATAATGTTCTAGTCCAGCTGAGAGTGATGAGACAATCTGATCTTAACTCATTAAAATGAATGTCTAACATATTAGAAATTAAAGCCCCTACCAATGATTTCTCAAATATTTGTTTCTTGGGCTGGCTTTTAAATAGCACCAAAGAGATGATTGGGTAGTCATTTTAACGTGGTTGAAATTAATCTTCTACACCAAATTTCTTGTCAGAAGTTACAAAAAATCTTCATATGTCACTGCTATTTATAACACGTTATCATGATTATCTTAGTAACTCAATTCATTGATAAGCATATACTCGTAAGGGCACTTTAGTAGCAAAACAAACTATTTTTAGCTGCTATTGGTGACTAGATAATTGTCTTCCTGTTTATTTCAATTCCCACTTGAAAGCAAGTTGTGTATGTAGTAGAGTCTCTGGAAGCACTGGTCAGATCAAATACTGCCAGCAAAGAACAAACTTGGGTAGAGAGTGCTTCAGGGAATTATGAAACAGCATAAAATGGAGATGAGGAAAGAAAATTAGAGATTATTTCTCAAATTTATTGTATTTGCTCATCTGTGCTCTTGTCTCTTATATTTTCTTTCATCCCACTATTTTCTTTGGCTTCCTCTAGGTAGATATCTGAATGGCACTCCCTATGTTTACACAGCATAGACAAAGCAGACTGCTTGTCATAGGCTGGGACAGGGCAGGGAAAAGCTGGTTTTCCTTTTTCATCCTCCTAAGTGCCTTTTACTAATTTCCTTTCTTATTCTCGCTCCCCTCCTGCTTCCCCTAGCTACTGGGCTATACAGATGCCTCATTTCCCTACTCCTCATTCTCTCATGTAGTTTCCACCTAGGGTTGCCAGACTTAACAAATTAAAATACAGGATGTCCAGTTAAATGTGAATTTTGGATAGACAATGAATATTTTTAGTATAAGTATGTTCCTGCAATACTTGGGATATACTTAGACTAAACATTATTTGTTATTTATCTAAAATTCACATTTAACTGGGAGTCCTATATTTTATCTGGAAGCCCTACTCCTTGCGTGTGGGCAACAGGAGGCTTTAGCAGCTACCTTGTCCCCATTACTGAGAATTCTATCTGCTTTAGTTCCAGCCTTAAAAGAATGCTCACATCTAAATACCATCATTTCATCACCGTGGTCTGTGTTCCCATACTCCCTGTCATTTCCATCAGGGCTCCCTTACACATTTTTCACGCTGAATTCTGAATTGATAAAGGATGGGCAAGTTACCAGATCTGGACTCCATTTAGCTTTGCACCTGACTGCCTTGATAATTTTGATTTTTAGCAAATGAAGATAAGACTGACTGTGATGGAGCAGAATTCAGGTGCCTATATGGCACCCTAGGTGGAAATTACATGAGAGAATGAGGAATAGGGAAATGAGGCATTTATATAGCCCAGTAGCTACAGGAAGCAGGAGGGGAGCAAGAATAAGAAAGGAAGTTAGTAAAAGGCACTTAGGAGGATGAAAAAGGAAAACCAGCTTTTCCCTGTCCTGTGCCAGCCAATGACAAGCAGTCTGCTTGGTCTATGCTGTGTAAACATAGGGAGTGCCGTTCAGATATCTACCTAGAGGAAGCCAAAGAAAATAGTGGGATGAAAGAAAATATAAGAGACAAGAGCACCTTTCCTTTCCATTCTTGCTTTAGAATGAAGCTATCAGGGAAGAAGAGATCTAATGTTGAATATATATCAGACATTTTATAGTACCTTAAGACAGTTAAAATAAAGTGATAAATCTGCTAGAGGACCAAGGAAACAGTAATTATATTTAAGTGCAAACTTGAAGAGAAAAATCAATTTCATATGAAGAACAAGCCACCTCAGATGAGGTGGTCCCAAGAGAGCCCTAGAGAATCAACTCGGGCTTTTCCCTTGAGATTTTCTCTTTACTGAGTCTGAGAACAGCAGGAGGAAAAGATAGTTTAAATTCAGGAGCATGCCAGAGGGAAGCACGAAGTACTTTAGAAATACTTTCAAGTGGCAGAGTCAATGCCCTTCCAAAGCTTCATTATTCATAACTGACTTTAAAGACACTAACAATCCAGAACATTTTTTTTTTCTTTTTTGAGATGAGGTCTCACTCTGTTGCCCTGGCTAGCGTGCAGTGGCGTCATCACAGCTCACTGCAACCTCAAACTCCTGGACTAAGCAATCCTGCGGCAGCCTCCCAGAGTGCTAGGATTACAGGCATGAGACACTGAGGTCAGCCCAGAACATAGCTTTTTAAACAATGACTTCTTTTCATTGTGTCCTGGTCCTTGCTTGACAGGTAGCTTTTGTTTCACTCAAGTGATCAGAACACAAACGGCAGCCTAAGTGTTTGGTACCAGCTGCTTTCCTTCAAAGAATCCCTGCACTCCCCAAGGTCACTGTGGCAGTGCATCTTAGTCTGAGCAGCCCTAGAATGGGTCCCACCCCTGGACAGAGGACAGATGCATTCAATTTATCTCAAACAGAAGTTAGGGCTTTGTTTCTGAATGGTATTAAAGAGTTTTTTAAAAATGTAATTTCCACAACGTTCTACACTGGTGAGCCATTCGGGATACTTGGGCCCTTAAAGAAGTACTCCATTGTTCCCCTCCTCTCACTCTTTTCCCCCTTTGTCTTATGTGGCTAACAACAAAGTTTCTAAATCTAAATATGGTATGTGCTACCATTCAGTCTGAGTTTTTATGAATTACTCTAGCCTAAATCAGTGTCCAGAGACAATATTTGGGAATCAGAAGAGGCGGCTTACAGCTGAAATGTTTGCACTAACTAGCTGTGGGACTCAGGGAAACCTTGTCATCTTTCTGGATCTGTTCCTTATCTCGAAAATGTGACTCTTGATCTTTATGTTCGTCAAGGTTTATTCCTGCTCTGAAGTTCTAGGATTCTTCTTGTATCTGCCCCCATCTCTATGTGTGCTCCTTCTTGGGAATTTGCATTAAGCTTTTAGATGAGCTTAATAAATGCTTTTTTCTACTTAAAATTTTTTTTTTCTTAAAACTAGTATAGTTCCTTAAAAAAGTTTAGCTTGCTTAGTGCACAGTTTTCTAAGTATGTAGTTCAGGAAATTTAGAAAATAAGCAGATTGCGCCAGGCGCGGTGGCTCACGCCTGTAATCCTAGCTCTCTGGGAGGCCGAGGCGGGAGGATAACGCGGGGTGAGAAGTTCAAAACCAGCCTGAGCAAGAGCGAGACCCCGTCTCTACTAAAATTAGAAAGAAATTAATTGGACAACTAAAAATATATAGAAAAAATTAGCCGGGCATGGTGGCGCATGCCTGTAGTCCCAGCTACTCAGGAGGCTGAGGCAGTAGGATCGCTTGAGCCCAGGAGTTTGAGGTTGCTGTGAGCTAGGATGACGCCATGGCACTCTAGCCCGGGCAACACAGTGAGACTCTGGTCTCAAAAAAAAAAAAGAAAATAAGCAGATTGGATTTATGAGAGGTTTCTGATTCTCAGTATCTTTTAATGCTCTCAGTTTATCAAACATTTTCTTGGAGAGCTCTTTTGTGTAGGTGTATAGTAACGCTGAATCTGGCAAACGGGTCAGAAGATCAAACAGTCCCTCCTTGGATTTTCCTGAATTGTCTCTCTGTGCATAATACACAGCCTATTTCTATACATTATACAGTTTTATGTAAATGAATCATTGTTTATGTAAATAATTATCTTTTTTTATGTTAACGTACTTTTTTGAGGTTTATTGTCATAAATGTAAATGCGTCAATTTTAAATATTTAGTGTGATGAATTTTAACTAATGTACACATATTCCTATGCTTCCATTCATTACCCACATCAATATATAGAACTTTCCATCACTCGTGGAAAGTTCTCTCACTGCCCCTTCCTCAGGCAATTACTATTCTGGTTTTTATCGCCACAGATTAGTTCTGCCTGCTCTTGAATATTATGTCATATAGTATGTATGGGTAAGGAAAGAACTGTCATAAAGGGGTACAGACATGAATATTTTCAGCTGAAATCAAGGGCCAGTAAGGTGTAAGCTGGCTAGCAAGTAGGTAAAAGAGAAAGGCAACAATGAAAACTTAATCACTTTGTTAAACTAAGTCAAACTTGATTAAATGAAAAAAATTTGTATACTTTATGAAGTTCTTATACTGAATAATGTAATTAATAGTGCTCACAAAATGTGGAGCCAATTTGGAAAAGGAATTATAGAATGAAGAAGAAACTATTATAGTCTAAAGAGAAGTGACTGCCCCCTCTTTTCCAACCCAAATCACTGGACGATAAACAGTTAAAAGTTGCTAGTGAGCCTTTGCTATTTTGGCCAATTTATCACAGAGCACCATAAATGATTCCATGTGGGTAGAGGATAACATATAGAGAATGAGACTATGTCAGAGATGGAAGAAGGGGTTTAGAAACAACATGAGTAGCCCAGGGCCAGAAGGATTCGTCCTACTATTGGTGGGCCTGGAAGGTGAGGTCACAAGTAGCAAAATGGATACCAGAAGCACTACTTGTCACCCAAGCTAAGTGGAATAGTTGGTCCAATAGGAAAAATGCAGGCTTCATTCTGCACTGAGTTCTCCAACTCTGGATAAGCCTCTGAAAATAAATGTTGGGGGAAAAATGCTGCTGGTTATGAAGAAATGTTATATCTCATTTAATTAAAAATCAATTCACTGACATATAAACAAAACAGACAAAACAGTGTTAACAGAATCCTTTTATCTTGAGGAGAGAGGCAATGCCCTAAACAAGCATCAACTTAAGAGCTCTGCTGGCAATCAGGAGAGCACTCAAACACAAATTTAGCATGGGGGTAAAAGTCTTTATGTTTTTCGATGGAGGCAAAGCCATTTGGTTGGCACTTCGTAGGAATATCTTTCCACCAGGTCTTCATCATATGGTATATGCCACGAGTCTCCAGTTGTTTGCACCACTGTGTCATAGCTGAGAATATGCTGTTGAATTGAGAAGAGAACCAAACATTGAGAGTAACACTAAAGAGTTACATGGCCATTTCCTTTTCTTTTCTGAAACTTCTCACTTTTTTGGGGGGGGAGGGTGTTCACTTTTTTTTTTCTTTGAGACAGAGTCTCACTCTGTTGCCCTGGGTAGAGTACAGTGGCATCATCATAGCTCACTGCAACCTCAAACTCCTAAGCTTAAGCAATCCTCCTGCTCTAGCCTCCCGAATAGCTGGGACTACGGGCGCGTGCCAGCGTGCCTGGCTAATTATTTCTATTTTTGGTAGAGATAGGGTCTAGCTCATGCTCAGGCTGGTCTCGAACTTCCGAGCTCAAGCAATCCTCCCATCTCAGCCTCCCAGAGGGCTAGGATTATAGGCATGAGCCACCACGCCCAGCCAGGGAGTTTCATTTTTAAGGTTAAGGACTTTTTATAGGAGCATCACACTTATATGATACAGAATTCCTTTTGTTGCCTTTATCAGTTTTGTGTGTGTGAGTGAAAAATTTCAAATATAGTTGGCCCTCTGTATCTGTGGGTTCCACATCTGTGGATTCAACCAACTGTGGATCAAAAATATTTTTAAAAAACTGCATCTGTACTGAACATGCACAGACTTTATTCCCTAATACAAAAACAACTATTTGTGTAGTATTTACATTGTATTAGGTATTATAAATAATCTAGAGATGATTTAAAGTATATAGGAGGATGTGTGTAGGTTATATGCAAATACTACATCATTTTATATAAGGGGCTTGAACATCTGAGGACTTTGGTCTCCAAGGGATGTCCTGGAACCAATCCCCCACAGATACTAAGGGACAACTATATACAAAAGTAGAGAAATGGTATAATGAACTCCCATGTACCCATTACCTAGCTTTAACCATTATCAACTCATTGCTAATCTGATTTTTTTTTAAAAAAGGAAATCAAAGTGCCATTTGGTTGGCACTTCATAAGAGTATCTTTCCACCAGGTCTTCATCATATATGGTACGTGCCATGAATCTCCAGTTGTTTGCACCACTGTATCATAGCTGCTTTTATTAACGTGCCAGTAGACCTATCCACAATTTGGAAGGGATGATGCATTAATAATCATCATCAAAATGAATTAAAATACAAAGATATCTGAAATGGCTTTACAGTGACATGATGCCTTAATATATTAAGGAAATTGGTTGCTCTCAACTGCTTCTCACTTCATGTTTTTCATAAAGTCTTCTCCTTTCTTGATTGAGGCCTTCAGCTCAGGAATGGCCTTGGCAATCATCTTTTCTTTGAAAGAGGAGACTTTATGGATGCCTAGGTTCTTCTCAATGACCTTTTTTCCCAGCAGTAGCGGTGTGGAAAAATAGGCAGAGTCTGTCTCTTGTGACTTAACAAAGGAACATTCAACAACTCCTTCCTTTCCATTCATTGTATCCACAAGGGAGAAGATGAACTGGCACCAGCATATGCCATGGAGAGGGGGGCAGAGCCTGCATCAGCTTTAGTCTTCACCATCTCCATGCTGGCCTCCTGGATCTACCCAGAGAGAGCTGTCAGCTGCTCCTGGGCAAAGTCCATTTAGGGGGTGCACTGAGAGATCAAGGGGATCATGGTCTTCCCAGCATGGCCACCGAAGACAGGGACGTTGACTCGAGCCGGATCCAAACCCTTCAGGTCAGCAACAAAGGTGTTGGCTCTGATGATGTCCAGGGTTGTCACATCAAAGATTTTATTGCAGTTATATACTCCATGATTCTTGAAAAGTTATGCTGTGATCGGGATGGTGGAGTTAACCGGATTGGTGATAATGCAGATCATGGCTTCAGGGCAATGCCAGGCACAGGCAGCAGTCAGGGTGGCCACAATTGTGGCACTGGTGTTGAACAGGTCACCCCAGGTCATGCCTGGTTTCCTGGGGATTCCCACCAGAATAACCACCACATCTCACCCAGTCTGGTAGCTGTTCAGGTCCGAAGTAGCCTTTCACAGTTGCTCTGGTCTCGATGTGGCTCAGATGTGGCCATTCCAGGTGTACGAGTGATATCATAGAGGGTCAGGTGGCTCACTAAGGGGCTGTTCTTCAGGAAAAGCGAAAGCTTCCCGATTCCTCCGTAAGCCCCTTGCACAGCTACTGTAGCACTATTCTGGGCCACGGTGCTGAAGCTGGCGGGGCGCAGACCAGAAGGTGAAGGTACTGGCAGCGGGCACGTGACTGCAATAGCTAATCTCATTTCATCTACACCCAACTCACTTCCTGGCCCTATCCCCTCAGCAACGATTACTTTGAAGCAAATCTCAGATATATCATTTCTTCTGTAATATTTCAGTATGTATCTTCAAGAGATAAGGACTTATTTTGTAAATGTAAGATCAATACCATTATTATTCTTAAGAATTAATAATTCTTCAAAATCAAATTTGTTTGTTTCCCCAATTGCTATGTATGTGTGTACATATATTTTACAGTTTATTTGTTTGAATAGGAATTGAAAGGTTACTACACATTGTGATAGGTTGAAATGTCTCATATTCACCATGTACAGCATGTTTTGAAATACATACATGTTGCGGAATGGCTAAATTGAGCTAATTAACATATGTATTACTTCACATACTTATCATTTTTTGTGGTGAGAACACTTAAAATCTACTCTACTAGCAATTTTCAGGATGTAACACATTATTATTAATGATAGTCACCATGTTGTACAATAGATCTCTGGAAACTTATTCTTCCTATCTAACTGAAATTTTGTATGGTTTGACCAACATCTCCCCATTCCCTTCACCTCCCCTATACTTTTTTACTATTGGACCATATTTTACCATGGTCAGTGTATTTTTCTGTAGTAACTCACTTTGCATTTTCTCTTTTTGCTTTCACACAAGTTGCATCCTTGTATTATAGGTATTTAATATCTATAATACCTCAATTGAGTTCTCCTTTGAGAACTTTGAGACTTTGCTATAGAAGTGAATTAACAAGAAAAATGAGTTCCTTAGCAGAAGTATGACAAACCATAAGGGATAAAGAATTTTGAGCTATTGCAAATAGACAGGAAAATAAACAACACATATGAGAATTCATAATTCATGACATAATTGAAGTCACAATTGATGACATCCCAGGTGTTTTCAATAGGTCAATTAATTTGGGTTGACCCAGGAAAACTTTTGCTCTGGTAGACTCTGTTTCTAAAACCAACTATTTACAAAACTAAAACCGAGAAAAATAAAGCATTTAGAAATCTTTAATTAGTTGTAACATTCTTTTTCAATGTCACATTCTTACTATATACTTGACTCAGTTAACAGTATGTAGGACCAGATACCATACCTGAAAGGTTATTCCTGATCCTGGAAACTTATTCTTAATTGCCAGCTGATGTCCCTGCTGCCACTTAAAGAACAGGTGTTGGGTCTTGGCATCAGACAGACAGGCCTTGTGGTCCCGCATCAGGTCTTTTGTGACAAACTTGCAGTGATTCCCCGAGTGCAGTGTGGCATACAGAAGGAATGGATCATCCTCTGAGCTGAACAGGCATAAGAAAGGACACAAGCACACCCAAGGAGGCAGAGGATATTATTTTTCACCATGCTTTTTACTGATTTGCCTACTTTCCTCAGAGGTGCCTCTGAATTCTTGACCAATACTATCCCAGTGATACTTGTGAACCACCTGGAAGTCCTTAGCTGGTAGGCTACTGCTATCTAGAACACAAATGCAAAGCTGAGGGGAAGGGAATGCTAATGCTTGGGATTACTAACAGCTCACTGGGCTCTCCCTAGAGAATGAAGAATTCGGACAATTCTCTCTTCACACTCAAAAGTTGGTTCTCTGTGGGCATTTTTCCTATGTGCCTCATCCACCAGAGAGCACACCTTTTTTCCCCTTTCCTCACTCAAATTGAAGAAACATCCAAAATACTACTAAGGCAGTATGATAATTTCTCACAAGCCACCAAATAACTGGTTGCCCCTAAAGCTGAAAATGGTATCTCAAAGCAGCTTCTGGGCAGTCATCTGGATCAGCACCCAGAGCCTCTCCTGCTTTGAGAAGAGACAGTGACTCAGAGTCTCCAACAGACCTTAGCATTTACCACTTTATTTTTATTTTTTGGTTTTTCTTTTTTTTTGCTATTAACATTTTGGCTTTTTTCCTTCTAGTCTTTTCTTCTATACTTTATATACAAATGTACAAATATACACACTCATTATATAAATTTCAAATTATTATTTTTTTAAAAAATTTCAGATTATTATGGGGGTATACACATTTTGGTTACATAATTTGTGCTTTTGTACAGTTTGAGTCAAAGTTATAAGTGTGCCCTTCACCCAGATAGTGTACATTGTACCCATTAGGTGTGAATTTACCCATCCCCTCCTCCCCGCCTGCTTGATTTCCATTGAGTTTTACTTCCACATGTACACATTAGTGTTGACTGATTAACTCCAATTTAGTATGCACTTACCATTTAAATGTAAGCACTATAAAATGGCAGTAACTACCTTGGCTTAGGAGATTTGAACTACAGCATGTGATATATATACGTGCCTTCTGTTAACCTTAGCCTGCAATATTTCAAGTGACATGGTAAAATGATGGAATCTGCCTTACAATTCTGTAGGAAAAAAAGAAAAATAAAAAATGTATGGGATTATATGCAACAAAATTAGTAAAATGGGGCCGGCTGAGGTATCTCACACCTGTAATCCTAGAACCCTAGGAGGCCAAGGTGGGAGGACTGCTTGAGGTCAGGAGTTTGAGACCAGCCTGAGCAAGAGAGAGACCCCATCTCTACCAAAAACAAAAAAAATTAGCTGGGTATCATGGCATGCGCCTGTAGTCCCAGTTACTCGGGAGGCTGAGGCAGGAGGATTGCTTGAGCTCAGGAGTTTAAGCCTGCAGTGAGCTATGATGATGCTACTGCATTCTAGCCAGGGTGACAGAGCGTGACCCTGTCTCAAAAAAAAAAAATTAGTAAAATGACAGTAATTGCTGGAGCTCGGTGACAGTTATGTGGGCACTCACTATACTATTCTGTCTACTTTAGTGTATGCTTGAAAGCTTCTTTGGTACATTAGTGGAAAACAGAGTTAATGTTAAAAATTTAAATATTTAAATCCAAAGCCATAGCAGGTCAGTGAATCAATCGTTATAACTGAGTTTGGAATTTTAGCTGATACCATAAATAATATAGGCCCCAAACCAAGCAGTGAGACCAATTTCCAACAGGCTTCTTGGTTATAACACTTTAAATTTATCTAATTCTTCCATATAAGAAAAGTAATAATGATGATGACAGCAACTAACATATATATGCTTGCCACGTACTTGGTGCTGTGTCAAGAATTTTACATGCGTTATTTACATGTATTATCTTATTTAATCTTCACCAACAACCCTGTGAAGCTTACATATGTAGAAGGGACCAGATAGGAAGTGGCAGGGCCATGATTTGAACTTTGGTAGATTAATTCCCAAGGCTGTAATCCTAATGTCTACCCAATGTTGCCTAAAGTGCTTGCATGGAGAGCATTAGGTCTTTTACTCTTGGAGAAATGGAAGGAACTCTTCTCAGCTAAAGAAAAAGGGGATTTGGTTTGGGATCTGAATTAGGGGTTGGCTTCCTGCTTCATGCATTGAGAGGCATTTTACATTTTTAAGAATAAATGATTTGGGGAATACAGAAAAATCTTGAAGTTATCACATTCAAACTAATGAAACCTAGACTTGGGGCTGACGCATACATTCATTATCCATACAAAGTTGGAAATAAATTTTTGTCAGCATAAACAGTATGAAAACCTAAATGTACATTAAAAGTCATATGAACTATTGAGGATCTGTGTTCCTCCTGATTAGCTGCTTTCTTCTTACTTTACTGACACTGTAGATTTTGTTACTGACCATGCTGGCCATGTTCCTTTGGCTTCCTGGAAAGCTGCGGCTCAAAATTTTCTCTTTACATTTAGAATAAAATCCAGGCCTCTTGTGTGTCTACCAGAACCCACAAAGTCCCCTGGTATGTGGTCCCTGCCTTCTTCCTGGCCTCAGAGCCTATTTCCCTCCTGTTGTCACAGCCCATCCACACTGGCCTTCTTGCTGTCCTCAAACATGGCAAACTAGTTCCTGCCTCGGGGCTTTTCAAACACTTGCTATTCCCTCCTTGATGGCCTTCACATCATCCCTTCCCGTTTCTCAAATGACTCACTCCTTCCTATCAGAATTGCTCCCTCAGAAAGGCCTTTCCTGACCACCCCAGCCACTACCATTTGACCTATCCCCTACCTAATCCCTTTCAACCTACTTTGCTTTGTTGTCCTTGGTAGCACTAATCACTGCCTGGAATGACATTACCTGTTTATCTGTTTACCTGCTTATTATAAGTTCTACAGGCAAAGACTTTGTCTTGTTCACTGCTATTTCTCCAAAAACACAAAAAGGGCTCATATTTGTTAAGTAGTCGTTAAATGATCTATTTAGGATCTTATGGCATATATTCTGTGCACTAATCTCACTCCTGACTTACCGTCTCCCCTTTTCTCCTTTATCCTGATTTCCTCATCTGTTTCAGTTTACCCTGCTGTAGAAACTGTATTTTTGTAAGCTGCTTCAAATGTTTTCTTTTTTGAACAAGGTTGCATATATTTATATACATGCATTTTTAAAATAGGAAAAGTAGGTAACTACCAAGTAGATGACTGCAGTCCGGCGTAATTCACCTCCAATACTTACATGTTATCAGCAAAGAAACAGCTGGCTTGCTCTCGCACCATTTCCATCTCATCCTTTCTCCATCGGGGACTCTTTTTTAACATGTGCTTCCGGCCCAGGACCAGCAGTCGCAGATTTTGTTTGGCTAGTTGAGAGACTAATTGCAAGAGCTAAAAAACACAAAGTCAGTGTGCAAGAGGGTCAAGGGAAGAATCTCAAATAAGTGGAGTGATTCTTCCAGCTGGTTACCTCAATGGTGAAGTACTCTTTTCTGGTAAAGGGTAAGAAAGTCCTTAAAAAATTTCTATCTTTGAAACCCTGAGGAAAATGTTTCTGTATTACAAATTAATGTCTGACATTTGCCCACCGGTCAGGCCACATTGGATCCAGGGGGTTTTTCTAAGCATAGACTAGTTCAGTTGCGTTGAAATTACGTTCCTTAGAGCTGACTAGGATAGAGATGGGAAGGCTCAAGAGAGATGATGGGGTATTGCTCCTACACATGCCCAACCCTGTTGCAACCAGAACAGCTCAACTTTTGAATATTTATATACTGGTATTCTGCATAAGTTTTCATTTGAATAAAGGGTTCTACTTTTTTTTTTTTAAGTTTGTAAATGATTAGACTAGATGGTGACTTTTCAGTCAACTTTTCCATGTCATGATTACTGCTAAGACTGCTATCTTTCATTGAAATCCCTTTTCATCCCAAAGATCTGTCAATTACCACCCTCTAGCCTACTTTCTAGGCAGTTAATTTATCCCTATTCTCTCCAGTTCCCACCTGTCTTATGTGCACATGAACTCAAAGATATAGACTTAGATTTTTAGCAAATTGAGTACTTTGGTGAGCTTGCCTACAATCTATCTTTCATAATCAAAAGTCCACAGATTACCTTCATGTACAACCTAATAAACTAAGCCATAAATGGATATTACTAACTAAAACAAAAGCCAATAAAAATTATAATTTATTGTTATATAGTAGTGTATCAGAAATATACAATTTCTTTAATTTATAAGAATCGCTGGGCCCACAAAAACCACAAGTTGAAAGTGGAAGAAATTCTTAATTTTCTTGGGTCTTGGTTGGAAAAGGTATTGATTTTAGCCTAGCTTCCCTTTACTCACAATTTCTTCCCCTGTAGATGTTCAGGACATTATTTCAAGTTCTTTAATCAATAAAATTCATTTATTTAGTCAGTTGTCAAATTGTGTGTTAGCACCTGTTATGTCTAATACACACAGACTCTCTGACAATCTAATAATGAATTAGCAAGGACTGAATTTTTAAATGTTACTGTTTAATGCTTTGGATTTATATTGGATTTTTGTCCATCCTACACCATTGCTAATCTTATTATTTTAGGAAGAAGTAGTTGGTTTTATATTTTTATTTATTTATTTATTTATTTATTTATGAGACAGAGTCTCACTGTGTTGCCCGGGCTAGAGTGCCGTGGTGTCATCCTAGCTCACGGCAACCTCAAACTCCTGGGCTCAAGCAATCCTCCTGCCTCAGCCTCCCGAGTAGCTGGGACTACAGGCATGTGCCACCATGCCCGGCTAATTTTTTCTATATATATTTTTAGCTGTCCAATTAATTTCTTTCTATTTTTGGTAGAGATGGGGTCTCGCTCTTGCTCAGGCTGGTTTCGAACTCCTGAGCTCAAACAATCCGCCCGCCTCGGCCTCCCAGAGTGCTAGGATTACAGGCGTGAGCCACCGCGCCCAGCCAATAACTTTCCTTTTTAAAAGCTATGCTGAGATTACAGATTATTTTCATTGAACCCAGATATAAAATGGCAACTGAACTCATTGACAGGAATGACAGTTTTAAAATTTCCATATGAATTCCCACAGTTGTTGTAGAGATATAAAAAAAATTCAAAGACAATTTTTGATACCAGTTGCTTAAGTTTCCATGCAACTGGGAAGACGTGGCTTAATGAAAAACACAACTGGGTCTTCACAGCTATACCCTGGTTGAGACAAATAGCTTTGAATGTACTAATAGTAAGATAAAAATTGGGGCCCAAGGAAGAGCAGCAAAGCCTTAACTTGAACTACTCTGGGGCACCATCTTGTGGCTGAGAGGTCTCTACTAGCAGCAATTCTCTGAAAATGAAAACAAAGGGGAGAATACATGAAAGACAGGAAAAAAAAAAAACAGAGATGAGAGTGCAGAATAAAGACAATGGCTTGAAACTCTGTGACAGTTCAGCGATGAACCTACTTCCCCTGGAGTAAATTCCAAGCTGGATACAGTGGGCTGGGTTCAGGCATAGGTATACTTGGAATAGTAAAGAAAAAGAAAATTCAACTTAAAATGCTATGTTAGCTCAAAAATAAAACTGGGAGGGAAGATAGAGTAGATATATTTCTCCCTATCTCTCCCACTAAGTACAACTATATCTCTCCCACTGAGTACAACTAAAAACTCTAGACATTATATATAAAATAAACTGAAGCTGACTTTAAAAAGTGGAGAAAAAAAGGCAAACTGCCTAGGGACCTCAGGACATAAGGACTGACATGGCAGTGAGTTCCCTGGGTTTTCTTTTTGCCTCAGATATCCCAGACTTGGAGCTGAAGAAGCTGTCAACCTGGAAACACCAATGTGTGCAGACAAAAAAAAAAAAGCCCAAGAAAGGCCTTTTTCTCTAACTAAAGGACTAGAAAAGAAGCAGTTTAGTCAAACAGAAAACTTGGTAAAATGATGACACCAGTAGAATGTGATGCTAGGTGTGTATATGTAATATCATCAGCAACCACTAAAAATGCTACACAAAGAGATACACTGAAAACCATTATCGATTTTTTAAAAAAGCACTATAGAGAAATAAAAATGGAATTCTAAAAAAAGTTCAAGGAGCCCACAGGAAGGCAGGAAAAATAAAACAGAGAAATAAAAAGAGACAACAGACAGAAAACAAAAAATAAAATGGCGGGCATAAGCCCTAACATATTCATAACAACAGGAGGTATAAAGGGTCTAAAGATACCAATTAAAAGACAGGTATTGGCAGAGTGGACTGAAAAACATGACCCAACTATATGCTATCTAAAAGAAACTCATTTCAAATGTAGACTGGTAGAAAGTAGAAGGATGGAAAAAGTTATAGAGCATGCAAACATTAATCAAAGGAAAGCTGGAATGGCTACATTAACATTAAAGAAAACAGACGTCAGAGCAGAGAAAATTACCAGAGACACAAAAGGACATTACATAATGATAAAAGGATCATTCCACCAAGGAAACATAGCAGTTGAGAGAAAAACTATACGGAAAATCAGCAAGTATAGAAAAGAAATTAACACCATCTAGGTTCATGGATTGGAAGGCTCTAGATAGTAAAGATGTCAATTCTTCCCAACTTGATATTAGGGTTTAATGCAATTCCTATTAAAACCCCAGCAGGATTTTTTTGTAGTTATATACAAAGGAAGTATTAATAGAATAGCCAAAACAATTTTGAAAAGAAAGAATAAAGTGGGAAAAATCAGTCTACCTCATTCTAAACTTTATTATACAGCTACAGTAATCTAAATTGTGTGGAACTGGTGGAGACACAGACAAATAGATCAGTGGAACAGAATAGAGAACCCAGAAATAGACCCAAACAATTATGCTGAGGAAAGACGGCCTTTTCAGCAAGTGGTGCTAAAGCACTTGGACATTCGTAAGTAAAAAAAAATGAACCTCTACTTAAATTTTATTCCTTACACAAAAATTAAATCAAAATGAATAACAGACTTAAATATAAAACATAAACTATAAAGTTTTAGGAAAAAAACCTATGAGAAAAGTCTTCATCATCTAGAGCTAGGAAAAGAATTCTTAAACTTGGCACTAAAAACATGGCCCATAAAAGAAAAATTTGATAGATTGGACTTCATCAAAATTAACAATATTTGATCTGTGAAAGATCCTATTAAAATAGTGAAGACAAGTTACAGACTGGGAGAAAATATTTACAAACCACATATTCAACACAGAATTAGTATCTAGAACACATAAAGAACTCTCAAAATTAAACAGTTAAAAAAAGCAAACAATCGAACTAGAACATGAGCAAAGACCTTTCACTGAAGAAGATATACGGATGGTAAATAAGCACACAAAAAGAAAAGATGTCCAACATCATTAGCTATTAGGGGAATGCAAATTGTAATCCAATGAGATATCTCACATAACTATCAGAATGGCTAAAATAAAATATAGTGACATCACCAAATGCTGGTGAGGACGTGGAGAAACTGAATCACTCATATACTGTTGTTAGGAATTTAAAATGGAAAACTCTAGAAAACAGGTAGTTTCTTATAAAACAAAACATGCAACTACCATTTGACCTACTTATTGAGCTTCTGGGCATTTATCCCAGAGAAATGAAGGTTTATGTTCCAACAAAAACCTGTACACAAATGTTCATTGCAGATTTATTTGTAATAGCCAAAAACTGGGAACAACCCAGATGGTCCTTCAACAGGGTGAATGGTTAAACAAACTGCAGTACATCCACACCATGGAATACTAATTAGCACATAAAAAGGCACAAACTATTGATACCACAACGACCTTGACTGATCTCCTGAGAATTATGCTGAGTGAAAAAAAGCCAAACACAAAAGGTTATGTACTGTATGATTCCACTCATATAACATTCCTGAAATGAGAAAATTATAGAAATGGCGAACAGATGAGTGGTGGCCAGGGACTAAGGAGAGGGTGGGGTCTGTATTATTTCTTATAACTGTATAGGATTCTATAAATTATCTCAAAATAAAAAGTAAACAAACAAAACCCAAAAACTCTCAAATCAAAAAACAAACTAGGCCTTCTAAGGGAGGACAGAGGGGTATGTGACAAATATCCAATGCATATTGGATGATCACCTCCTAAAAGGCAATCCTTCCTTGAAACTAATAAAGAAGGAATAGGTTTAGGTGAGAGACATTAAGAATTTCCTTGAGCTCAGGGCAGTCCTGTCTAGAGAAGCTAAGATCTACCCTGGACTGTTCTCAACCTAGAGAACCCAGAGACAGTGGGGGCAGTTGTGGACCTGCCGAGGTGTTCTGGAATCTGTACCACTTAGTAGAGCAAAATAAACAGTACACAGCTCATTCTGGAGCATATCTAAAATTCCAAATTGATTACAGAACTAAT